CAATGTGTGTTGTGATTGTACCAAGATTGTGCTGTGCCAGTTTGAGCAAGTCGAGTTGTGATTGTAGCAAAAAGAACAATTTTCATGGAAGTCCTAAATGCCACTAAGTTTTAATTACCAGTTGGCTTAAAAGCATTGCGAGCTAGCACAGTTCGGGCGTCATTTTGGTCTCCTCTTCCAGATCATGCATGCCACATGGAATGCAAGAATGTCGTCAACATGATGCGGGATTGACACATAACACCTCAATAACCCACGTAGAGCATGCCAATTGACTGATGCGTCATCCTAAACCACTTAAAGTCCGCAGCAATGTCGGCTCCCGCGACGAGCTAGAAAAGTTAGGTGCCATTGCAGGCTCGCGAGGTCTCCCGAACTGCGCCCGGCTGGTGATGAAATACTTGAACGAACGTTTGCTGCAACCAGAGTAGCGAAGTGAGGGTCTCAAAAGCAGTCTAAAACGATTGAAAAGTAATGAAATCAGGTACACATCAGTTCATGGCGCGATAGTTACCCCCAGCTCTTGACGTAAGCCACGCATAGGAGACCGAGATTACGGGGAGTCCAAGACTGATACCCTGAAATTGGCTGCATAACTTATCTTTGTCCGCTCAAAATCCATGAGTTTTACGCACTGGTGCGCCGGACCGGGTCGGGTCGGGGCGGTGCGGTGCGGTGCGGTGCGGTGCGGTGCGGTGCGGTGCGGTGCGAGCGGGCGGGTGTGCGGGCGTTACAGAGACTCTCCCCGACACGGCGCGGAGCCGCCTCGCGGGCCTGTCGAGCCTGGCGGCGCGTCCCGCTCGACACGCCATCGACCCGGCGCGTATGGAGCGGAGCGGAATGCGAGCCATTCCGCCCGCAGCGGAATGCGGACCGCTCCGCCCGCAGCGGAATACGGATCACTCCGCCCGCAGCGCAATGCAGACCACTCTGTCCGCGGCGGAATGCGGACCACTCCGCCTGAGGCGGAATAGCGCGTCGAGCGCTGCACGCAGCCGAACCCCGGCGCATTGTTCTGTTTAAACCGGCCGCCCATCCGGCCAGCCAAATTATCTCATCGTCGACGAGGTCAGAGGGGCGTGCCGCCGGCGTAGCGGGCGGTGGCGCCAGCCCAGAGCCCGGCTCAGCCAGTGCTGCCCGCGGACGCGGGGGGAGGCTGCAAACAAGGCCGGCGGACCTGCGCCGCCACGCGGTCGGCCCGGGTCCGAGCGACCCGTCGGACCTTTTGTATTTAACATCAGCTGATACCCCATATAAATACGTGGCCATTCCGTGCCATTAGTCTGAGAGATAAACAGTGTGTCAAAAACAACGGAAAAAGATAAGGGGCAAAAAACATACAAACGTATGTAGGCATAAACAGTATAAGATAAACCTTTCGCACAAAAAGTGGCTTGGCAGCGCGCTTAAAGCTTGTTAAATCCAGCTGTCTAACATCCACCGGCAACTCGTTCATGGGACAGGCCGCTCAGTACGCGAAGGACCGCTGTCTTGCCGCCGCGCGCACCGCCGGGGGCGCAGGTTATGGTCCATGCTAATAGATCGGGCACGGGTCCGCGTGTCGGCGTATGTTTGTAACAAACAGGCAAGATCTACAGGTTCACCTCGCCAACGGGCCTTATGCGCAGCGATAGCAGTTTGCACTTCATGCATTAGCGAGGCGTGGCAAAGTGCAGGTCATCCCGCACCCGAGACACGATCATACTTTCGGAGGCCAGTAACTTCTCTGGTAGCGAAGTCTCTTCTGTCAGCAGTCTGGCTCGTTAGTAGGAGTGTCCCACCTTTGGAGCATGTTTCAAAAACATATTCTAGTGAAACCTCAGGAGTAGTCACGTCTAATAATAGCATTTGGTAGTGCCACTACAACATCGTTAAGACCTGATAAAAAATTAAAAAACTGGGTTTTTTCGGGTTCAAATTAGGCTGTCAGCGCCTTGCAACAGCACTTCGCCTCTGCCCTGCAGTCGCAGCCACCGTGGTCATGATAACGACCGTGCGCAGCTGTACTGGTGCGAATAACAGAACGTTTGTGATGGGCGCAGCGGGTAAGGGCCTGTCACCAGAAGTTTGTTGGTTGAAGTTTGAACCAGTGCGTCACATGCATCATATGATACTGCCATTCCCAAAGCCAGAGTGAGCCTCGAAAAGGGACACCGGTTAACGCCATAGCGGATAAGTGAAGGCCTTTGTACAACGTTTCGTTGAATTCGCAGGATATTAGCTTCATGCTCGCGCATGTATTTTTCTCTGAACATAGTGTTTCAAGATTTTGTAGTATTTATCACACAAAGATTTTTACATATCAAGGCGCTGCAAACATTACAAAACACACGTTGGAAAAAGTAAGGGGACTGAAATGTATTACTTTCATAGTGGAGAGCAGGGAATTGAATAAGACTTCTCCCGCAGGGACGACTACTTCAAACCGAAATTTTGAGTCACTCAAAAGGATATCGAGAAAACTGGTATTTCTGATCAAATCATACGCGTCATTAAGTGAAGCGTACAACATGGGTGGGAAACACCCTCTAACAGCTGACCACTGGCCATGAACTGAAAAAAGCAGTATCTCACGCGAGATATGACCAGACCTGCATGTTGGTCAGCAGCACTCGGTCTGGAAGCAAAAGCCCGACCCCCAGACTGGGACCGTCGAGCCGCGCGGTTGTTTCGCGGAGGTGTAGGCGTTTCAAACTTCAGTGCCTCTTGCCTCATGTTCGGGATGTTAGGAAATCATGGTCTGTTGGTCTGCAAAGAAGTACAGATAATACAAATGCGTTTATTGAATTTTGGTCATCGATCATAATAACTCCGTACCAACCATCAGGTGTGTCAAATTCATCTGTTAGCAGTTGCCTTACCATGACGCCCGCCTGGCATTGGTATCGGCTGCTATTTGAACAGATTGTGAGATGACTTATGTGTTGAGAATCCCATGATGCTTTCTTGAAACCTGATAACCTTGGTTGCTGCAGCGTCGTGCTCAGTAAATTTAGCTTTCAGGGCAAGTGCAGGGATTTACGTTGATCTCATCTAGCACTGACATTTGAGTTTTATGTAACAAATCTGTGCGGGAATCTGGCCACATAGTCTGAAGCCTAACCGAGAACTTTTATCATAGCTGGTTTTAAGAAATGAGATGTTACCAGGTTTTTGTGGTAGGCTTGGTTTTTAGTACGTGCACTTAAGTATCTTAATCGTTTATAATTCAGTCCCTGCTTCTGCTGATTCAAAATGAAATTGCCCACATTTACCCGTAAGCGTGCCTAACACATGCACACAGTGGTAGTGTTGTGCAGATATTGTATTTTGGTGCATTAAGCACAAGATATATCCCGGTGTATATTGCGCCCGAGTTCGTCATACCGGCGTACTGGCATTCCGACATTCAGGCCTGCACACATTGCGTGACGTGTTCGCAGTTTATTACCTACTGCTGGTCATATAGGCCACTTTGTGGGACTGCCAAACTGCTTGTACCGGTTTAGTAAGTAGGTCGGAAAATGCGGGCTGCTAGGAATGTGCAATTATTTACTTTCTAAGTTATTATCACTAGAGTGTTTGCTGCGGAAGAGGACAAGATGCGGTGCAGGCGGAGGTCGCTGGCGTCGAAAGTGTGCCGTATGTAACGTGTCACTGGAATAGAACGTGAGCGGTGTGTGGAAGAGGACGAGATGAGCTGCAGGCTGAAGTCGCTGGACAGTTTCGGGTTGTAAAGCACAGCGGCCGTCTGAACGACGGACATTACGCGGCCCGCGTGCGCGCTCGCCACCGCTACGGGCGGCTCGCCGTCAATCCCGCCTTCCTCACCGGCTTCGTCGGCGATGCGCACCAGGTGGTCTGCTCGTGCATCCCTAGTGCGTCGTCCCATCCGATACCTGCCCACCATGGAGCAGGAGTTAGTGCAACTGCGGTGGCAGGAGAAAGAGCCGGTACTGGTGCCAAAGCCAGAGTCAGAGTCAGAGCCAGAGCCAGAGCCAGAGCCAGAGCCAGAGCCAGAGCCAGAGCCGGTCCCGGGGACGGGTGGCGTCGACGTCGGGGCGGTCGGACGACACTGTGCCACACACTGTTGGTGGGAGCCGCTGCTGTCTGTGGGTGGGAGCCGGTGCGGTCTGGGAGCGAGGGCGGCTGCCGTCTGTGGGTGGGAGCCGCTGCTGTCTGGGTGGGAGCCGCTGCCGTCTGCGGGTGAGAGCGGCTGCCGTCTGGGCTGGAAGTCCACCGCGGCAGAGATCGCTCGATGCGGCAGCCGTCTTGGCGCAGGGCGCGGTGGCGGTGGCCGATCAGCGGCCCGAACTGCGGAGACGTGTTAGGTGCCGCCACGCTGCACCTACCGGCCGGTTTGAGGGCCGCCTCGCCGCGTCCAGCCCTGGCTCCCGGAGAGACGCAGGGCGTCGATGGCGACCTGTGACCCGCACGCGCCGCCACTGTTTGTCGAGCTTGGTGTGGAGCAAGCGCGGATCACCTTAGCTTACGGGCATGTGTCAGTAGTTTTAAGTGTGCTTATCAGCATTTCAGTAGTGTTAAGCGCATGTGCATTTCGAAATGTAGAGCCTTTTAGCCCGCCATCGTCTTGTTTATCCTAACTTAAAAGTTATGTTGAGGCGCTGCATCTCTCGCTGGCTGAATTTATACGTAGCCCTGGCGGCTGGCGTTGAAGCCAGACGAAGACGCGGTGACCGAGTGAGTCGGCTGGGTTTGCGGGCGGCAGCCGGGCCAACACGTCCGGTGCTCGCCCTCCACTCGCCGCCGTGGCCCACTGCGCCTGCTGGCCGGCTGGCGGAACAGACCCGCACGCAGCATCAACTGCGGCCGAATGTAATAGATTTTGGCGGCGATGTTTGGCGGCGAGTTGACGGCTGGCCATTCGTCATGAAAGAGCGTGCGGTCGCGTGAAATCGATGACACGCGGCCGGGCCGGCCCCTCCTATTCATTGAGCAGGTGTTCCGGCGACGCGACGCAACGGTGTGGTCGGCGGGTAACGACGCGGTGTGCCCCGCAGGGCCGGCATTCACGGCATCCAGGAGGGCAGCCACCTGAACTGGCTATCGGTGGCCTTCCTCGTGTACTCGGCGCTGTTCTCGCTGTCGTACCTCTGGTACCCGAACCCGATTTTCCACCAGGTGAGTCAGCGCGCGCTGATGGCAGGAGCCGGACGGCCGTTCGCGCTGGCGACCGCGGGTCTGACCGCCTGCTCGCGCCGGGAATGCCGCCCGCAGCCCCGTTGACGCGCTCGGCGGTAGATCCCGTGAAAGGGACCCTCTCAGCTTGTGGGCAGCTGGGACTGCCCTAATGCCTCCTTCCCGCAGCCTCATGGGGCATCACGTGACCAACTCGTCCTGTCACGTGGTAAACGACGTATCGCCTCGCGTCGATTCGGGCGGAAGCAGACGGCGCGCGCCGTCTGCGTGGCCTTGATGGGCCGATGAATCGTAACGCCCGCGGTGGGACCGGTCGTAATGGTCATGTGACTGGTGACGTAGGCCTCGCTTTCGTGTTTACCCCGGTCTGACATAGCTAAGGCATCGACCACAGACCCGCATCTGCGCGCATTACGCTCGACTGCGCGGCTGTTGATTGGGCTGCGGACGTCTTAGCACGTCATGCCCCCTTCTCCCCCATCCAGTGACGTAAGGACAGGGTCCGTGCGAAATGCAGGAAAGTTGAACACCGGCCCCACGACGCTTTCTGCCAGGCATCGACGAGTCGGTCCTCCTCTCCATCTGTTGTAGTCCTCCGCTTCCGCTGCGCCCCCGCTGGCACGCAGTACGGTGTCGTACGGAAGTGGTGCGATTTACATCATTCTGTAAGGTGTAAATATGTATATACATATATACGAACGTTGCAGACACCTCATATTCTGTGAACTAATTCTCAATGTAACTGGTAGTATCAAGTGTACCATGCGAAAGGTTGAACAAACAACCGGAAGCTATCCAACGCTCAGAATACTGTACTCTTTAATGGTAGCATCTAAGTGAAAATATGTGCACAATGATATATGTATATTACGACGATTTTTGACGGCTGCTGAGTGTTTTGTAACACGAGTTTCGCGTCGTTTTTATTTTTATTTGCGTGGCAATGTCGAGGTGATTGATGCTTCACACGCTTTATAGTCATGAATGTTTGATATCACGATAAAGGTGGTTTTTGTTTCTGATAACAGCATTAGTTATCATGAAGTATTCTTTACGACGCTACATCGCAGGACAAGTGCTTTTTCGAAGATCACTGGTAGCCACCGCCCTGTCCCCTTTCCCCCGGCTTCGTGGGCCTTTACAGACATTGCGTTTCCAGTTTTCCTTCAGGTCGTCTTCTGCGTCACATGCGTGGTGGAAGCGCTCCGTATCACTGCTCCCACGCCGCCCATGCAGCTATTGTCCATCGTCACTCGACGCAGTTCGTGAAGTTAGAATGGGTCCTTGTCGTCGGGTTGCAAGCGTAGCATGACGCCCTACACCTCGGGTCTCCCACTGTCACCGAGTTCAAGGCCTCCTCAGCGATCCGAGCCATGCCCCTCTCCGCCTAGCTGCCCCCCCCCCCCCCCGCCCCGCGCCCGTGTCGGTGATCCATCAACTGTCTGCCGGGCTGAAAGGGCAACGTATGCTATCGTTCTGATCAGTGGGGAATGCCCATTCGGCCACGTCGTAATGGCAAGCTTACATCGCTTACTCTCTTTGGATCTGTGTCACTTCGTGGACATTTTGAGGGAAAACGTTATTGTCGTGCAGCGCGTTGGTCGGGGAACCCGTCGGACAGGTGCTCTCTGAAGCTGACCTCGCGAGCTGGCGGCGGTCCGGTGAACTGCGGTGCGTCGCCGGCCCGGTCGGAGGTCGGCGGGGCGCGCACCACCCCTGAGCTGCTCGGGAGGGCGCGGCCACGCCGAGGGCGCGGCCGGGTCTCCCACGGAGGTCGGCACGGCCCTGGTCCGGCCGGCGCGCTGGTGCACCGCGGGGCGTGCTTTTCCTGTACCGGCGGCCGGTTTCCTCGCACCGGCAGTGTCTGATGGGCTGGCGTGGCGTGCCCCGAGCGCGTCTGTCCGTCCTGACCGCGGCCTGCGGAGCCGGGGCAGGGGAGGCGGCCGGCTCAAACCGCGCGTCGACACCGCAAGTGTGCTTCAGCCGTTGCTCGGAGCCCAGTGCCCGTCAATGGCTGGCAGACGAGGTGGACGTGTGCGGCCCAGAATGCTGCTTCAGAATGGTGTCCCAACCATACTCTAACAAATAATAGACGTTCTTGAAGGAACACATGGGAGCGGGGTGTCTTGATAACACTCCAGAATGTTTTTTTTTTTTTTTGCTTTCAGAAGGGTGTTCAAAACATGATAAACTTGACTGGTTTGTATGCTCTGAGCTTGTTTGCTGGGTGCGCCGCTGTGCTACAGTTTTAAGCGTTAAGTGATATAGGAGGAAGAATGAGCACTCGTCGTGCTCTTTGTTTCCCTGTTATAAATACTAGTCGCGGCTGCCCTGTGTTTACTGACACCGTCCGTTAAGTGGAATGGTTCCGCATTTGAACAAATCAGAGTAAGCGTCAAATGTGACGAAATAAACGCACCTATGGCTTTTGATAGACTTTGAATATGATGAAATAGTATGCATATTTTCGCGGGCGTTTAGCTCAGAAATTAAGTGGGTTTAGGTCGTAAGAAGGGCAGGGCTGTGAACTGCATCGAATGTTCCTCGAGATGGCTTTTTCAGTTGCAACCCCTTTACAAATGCTAAGTTCTAAAGCATGGGAAGTTTCAGCAAAGCTTCTGTGTGTCCCGATAACTCAATTGGTTTGGGCGTCTGCCTTGTACAGACTTTTTCAGACCGATGCGGCCTATTGCGGACCGATGTGCAGACTATTTCGGAGACCATTTCAAGTTCAACAAGGCACCCATGACGTCATAATAACGTCATTCAAATTCTACCAATTCCACCAGCCATGCTGCCATCACAATTGTCGTGTTGTTCATATCTGGCGTTCGTGAGCGCGATTTCCAGACACAACGGCCATCAACTGGCTCTCAATCGTGTGCAAAGCACGATGCCGTAATCAACGACGCATTAGAAAGGATATTTACTAAACAGAGAAATCGTGCTCCCGAGAGCAGTGCTCCACTTAAAAGTATGCCAATAGTTGTAAGTGAGCTCCCTTCAGCCTATCTGATAGTTGCTTCAATATCTTCAGATGTGGAGCATTCCCTTTAACGCCATGCGCCGCCGTAAAGGCAAACGGTCTGCTTTGACGACCGGACGGGTCCGAGCAGACATATTGCCGGCTTCCCAAACACCGCTGGTGCAGAACGTAGGAGCTCTCCTTGCTGGGAGCGGCGCACGGATGCACTCAGCGTAGGCCTGCAGGATGGACGGATATCTGTCCACAAAATTATTGTAAAAATATGCTTTTATGAGTGTTGGGTTGTCATTTGTGAACACCGTCGATAGTTCGACATCATTCCCTATCAGCGTCATGGGACCGGCCAAGCCCCCCCCCCCCCCCCCCTCCTCCCCCAGCCCCCCACCCTAGCAACAGGCGCCAGACGTTAAGCCCCAAGCCACGGCTGGAGCATGTTTGCGATGTAAACGGTGCTGGCGGCCATCGTGCCTCACGCAGGGCGATAACATGTATGGTCACCGAACCGTGCCGCGCTGGGACGCAGGACGAAGCCCGGCCGCCACGTGACCACCCCGCCCCCAACCTCGTGGCTGAGGCGGCAGCGGCTAGAGGCGGTGTGCTGTCCGCCGGTCCGGTCGGGGCCGCTGCTGCCCCGCTGCCGGGCCATGCTGGCCGTGACCGGCCCCCGCCGCCGCCCCGCTGCCGGGCCATGCTGGCCGTGACCGGCCCCCGCCGCCACCCCGCTGCCGGGCCATGCTGGCCGTGACCGGCCCCCGCCGCCACCCCCGCTGCCGGGCCATGCCGGCCGTGACCGGCCCCCCGCGGCCGCCCCGCTGCCGGGCCATGCTGGCCGTGACCGGCCCCCGCGGCCGCCCCGCTGCCGGGCCATGCTGGCCGTGACCGGCCCCCACCGCCACCCCGCTGCCGGACCATGCCGGCCGTGACCGGCCCCCGCGGCCGCCCCGCCGGTCCGGTCGGGGCCGCTGCTGCCCCACTGCCGGGCCATGCTGGCCGTGACCGGCCGCCGCCGCTGCCCCTGCGCCAGGTCAACTACGGAGTGGCGTCGTCGGCCATCACGCTGCTCGACATCAACCTGCTGCGCAGCCAGAAGGACCGTACGGTGCGGCGTCTCTTCTACCTGGGCGTGCTGCTGTACGCCGTGGCGTTCGGCCTATGGAACCTGGACAATCACACGTGCGACTCGCTCAGGTCAGTGGCGCCCCGCCGGGGGATCTATCTGGCCGCGGGGGCCTGACACGTGCGCGCTGCTCCCTGTCCCGACCTTGCCACGGGCGCCGGTTCGGTCTCCGGCCGCCACTGGGTCGCAGGCGGGACGGGCGAAGGTTGGAGAACTGCGGGAGGGATCGCCTGCTCCACGACCGTGGCGCATGCGACTTGACCGCCGGAGCTCGTGTCGACCTGTGCTTTTTGTGTTGTAATAATAGCGCGTGGAGCTGAAATACCAGGATTGCATGCTTGCGAGCACCGACAACTGGCCATTTTGCTTTGCTCCATCTGCGGCATATCCTTTCTCCGAATTTGGTCGCTTAATGTCTCCGCGCTATTGTTTCGACGGAGTGAAAGGTAAATAGATAGCGATTATTTTGAATGTCCGGTTCAGTGATCCTCCCGACGACGTTAACGACAGGCGTGTCCCGACACCCTGTTGACCAGACCCGCGTGGTCTGGTTCATAACCAGTGATTTAAGTGCGCACCTGAATAAGGGCCCATCAGTGTCCATCGCGCGGAGCTGAGCGACCGTGTCGCGTGGGGACGCGCTGCGCCGGCGAGACCAGCGCCGGCTGCGGTCGTGCCAGAGCAGCCGTGCTGACCACCACAGACTGACATCACCGGCATGGCCGCGGCTGCCGTCCGCGCCGCTCGGGCGCTGTGGTCGTGCCAGAGCAGCCGTGCTCACCACCACAGACTGACATCAGCGGCATGGCCGCGGCTGTCGTCCGCGCCGCTCGGGCGCTGTGGTCGTGCCAGAGCAGCCGTGCTCACCACCACAGACTGACATCAGCGGCATGGCCGCGGCTGTCGTCCGCACCGCTCGGGCGCTGTGATCGTGCCAGAGCAGCCGTGCTGACCACCACAGACTGACATCAGCGGCATGGCCGCGGCTGTCGTCCGCGCCGCTCGGGCGCTGTGGTCGTGCCAGAGCAGCCGTGCTGACCACCACAGACTGACATCAGCGGCATGGCCGCGCCTGTCGTCCGCGCCGCTCGGGCGCTGTGGTCGTGCCAGAGCAGCCGTGCTCACCACCACAGACTGACATCAGCGGCATGGCCGCGGCTGTCGTCCGCGCCGCTCGGGCGCTGTGGTCGTGCCGGGGCAGCCGTGCTGACCACCACAGACTGACATCACCGGCATGGCCGCGGCTGTCGTCCGCGCCGCTCGGGCGCTGTGGTCGTGTCGTGCGGCGGGGATTAGCATCAGCCACGCTGACGTGGCCTTCAGATCCGCCGGCTGGGTGCTGTCTTGAAAGACTTGTGGTCGATGTCCGCTCCAGAGCGTCAACCACGCTTTGTCACCGGCACGACCGCTCCGCGGACGTGTAATGTTCGCATGTGTAGGGCAGTGTGGAGTCGGACATACAACCAACGGCGTTTGTGTAGGGGAATGCTGCAGTTGTCGGTAATGAGGGCAATACGTCTGTGTGCCTTACAAGCGCACGCCTGCGGTGGCACACTGCCAGTATTGAGCCCAGGACGCGGGAAGCACTTGCGTGCGGCGTAATTATATGAGTAAGTGGTCGGCACGGCGGGGTATCAGTATATTAGTGACCGTGTTTTGGCTGCTCATGGTAGGTGGCGTTTGTTTGCGGAGTTTAGTAATCGGGTACTAAACGGCTCGGCGTGACAGCGGACACCGGTATGTCACTGCTCGCGTCGGGACAGGGCAGTTGGCACCGGTATATGTCACTGCTCGGCGTGACAGCGGCCCAGTATGTCACTGCTCTGCGTGACAGCGGGCACCGGTATGTCACTGCTCGGCGTGACAGCGGGCACCAGTATGTCACTGCTCAGCGTGACAGCAGGCACCAGTATGTCACTGCTCAGCGTGACAGCAGGCACCAGTATGTCACTGCTCGGCGTGACAGCGGGCACCAGTATGTCACTGCTCGGCGTGACAGCGGGCACCAGTATGTCACTGCTCAGCGTGACAGCAGGCACCAGTATGTCACTGCTCGGCGTGACAGCAGGCACCGGTGTGCGTGACAGCGGGCACCGGTATGTTACTGCTCGGCGTGACAGCGGGCACCGGTATGTTACTGCTCGGCGTGACAGCGGGCACCAGTATGTCACTGCTCGGCGTGACAGCGGGCACCGGTATGTTACTGCTCGGCGGGACAGTTGGCACCGGTATGTCACTGCTCGGCGTGACAGCTGGCACCGGTATGTCACTGCTCGGCGTGACAGCTGGCACCGGTATGTCACTGCTTGGCGTGACAGCTGGCACCGGTATGTCACTGCTTGGCGTGACGGCTGGCACCGGTATGTCACTGCTTGGCGTGACAGCTGGCACCGGTATGTCACTGCTCGGCGTGACAGCTGGCACCGGTATGTCACTGCTTGGCGTGACAGCTGGCACCGGTATGTCACTGCTCGGCGTGACGGCTGGCCTGGTATGTTACTGCTTGGCGTGACGGCTGGCACCGGTATGTCACTGCTTGGCGTGACAGCTGGCACCGGTATGTCACTGCTCGGCGTGACGGCTGGCCTGGTATGTTACCGATCACACAGCGGTGTGCAGCGGCAGCGGGTGCGGTCACCCGGCCTCTGCTGGGGTGCGGGGGCGATTGTGTGGCGACAGGCCGGGGCACCGGCCGCGCCTGACCACCAGCTCCGCCGGCCACGCCCTCGGCCCGACCACGCCCGTGTCGGCGGCGACGGCGCCGCTCGGCCGCACCGGCCGCCATCGATTCGCAGCGTGGTGACAGCCGAGCCCGACCAATTGGCCCTAATGAAAGTCGCGCCCGGTTTGGGCCTTTGGTCGCCACCTGGTTTCGATGGGCCAGCCGCGACGCCGGCTCATTGCCGTTCGGCGGGGCCGCCGCCGCTGCCGGCGACCGGCGCGCTTCGCTCGGTGTCATGCTGACCTAACGACGTGCGCCGCGACCGCCAGGTGGCTGCGCTCGGTGCTGCCGCCCGTGCTGCGACCCTTCACCCAGCTGCACGCGTGGTGGCATGTGTTCGCCGGCTACGCCAGCTATATCCACATACTGTACTGGTGAGTGCGTGGCGCGCCAGCGGCTCCTCACACACTGCCGGTGAGCAGGCTGGGCGCATCCACCGACTGCACTGGTGAGTGAACCGGCCACATACATGCGTTATGCTAGTGAGTACGACAGCTACAGCCGCATTTTGTACTGCTTAGTACGCCAGCTACTTCAGCGTGCTGTGCTGTGCTGGTGAGAAGATGAGCAATGCCACATACCGCTATGGTGAGCGCACCAGCTTCGTCCGCGCATTGCGCCGGCAGTAGGTCAGCTACATCCACACCCCACATGGGGTACGTCAGGTAAAGTCACGTGATGTACGAGTAAATATGCTAGTTATGTCCCATTTTTGTTGATGAGTACGCCGGCTAGGTCTTCATACTGCACATGCATGGGAGCGGAAAAGGGGCGGAGCCATGGCCCGTGCGTTTCGTGAATTTGTACGTGTATTCGTATATTCGTTTCGTGTACGTCAGATACAGCCAAGTGCTGTACGGGTGAGTATGCTAGTCATGTCCCATTGTGTTGATGAATACGGCAGCTGGACCTTAATACTGCACATGCTTGGGAGCGAGAGAGGAGCGGAGCCATGGCCCACGCGTTCCATGAATGTTAGTGTTAACCGTACTGTTATGTCGAGGGAGAGCTCAACTCAAACGAGGATTAGTTTCCTGCTTTCCCCATGCCACATCGCTGGTGAGCATGTCAGCTGTGTCCGCATGCCGGCGCGGAGCAGCTCCGGCGCAACCTCGCCCGTTCACCGCGACGCTGACCCAACCGCCGCCAGTGGTGTCAGGGGGGTGTCGCGTGTGCCGTGTGAGCCGGCCTGCCGTCCAGTCCGCCGCGGTCAATGGTGTGCAGCGCGGCAACCGCTCAGCCGCGGCAGCCGCCATTTCGGTAGAATGAGAGCGCTGCAGAATGGCAGCCGCTGGAGTTTCAAAGAGACGATCATGGCTGAGGGTGACGGCGGCCGTCGGCTGACCCTGGCCGGGCGGGCCGCCAGTTGGGCTCACTTACGCTGAGTACCGTGCCAACGAGGCTGCGCGTCTGACTGGAGCCACTTGTGTCTGTCTGCAGCCTGAAGGCGCGCTGCAACATTCGGCATCAGAAGAGCGAGGCGTGCTTTGGCCCGATGGGCTTCACCGTGCGCCGTCTGCCCTCTCACCGCGCCGAGGCGAACGGCCACACGGACAACTGCAACAACCTCAAGCACCTGGACTGACCGCGCCGCCGGCGCCGCCTCTCGGTCGAACCATGTACTCGAGCTTGGCACACTAGTCGCGCGGCGCGATGTCGGCCGCGGCGCCGGCTGGCCCGCTCGCTCGGCTCCGCAGCGGCTATGTTCCGACGGCGGAGTTGACACGTCAGATCGCGGGCGGCACGTGGCCGTCAGGGGTGTGGTGCCCGCGCAGCATCACTCACTCTTGTGCCGTCCGTCGTTGGACCGCCTCATCGGTGGGACAGTCAGCAAGTGCCTCGAGCTTTGTTTAACCACCGGAGTTAGCCTGTTGATATGGAGCAGCCGCAGCACACACCGTGCACTGATAGGCTCCCGTCTATTGTGTTGTCCTGGGCGATATGCCGGACGGGCCGACGAACAAAGCGCTGTCGTGTCAATGAATATATGGCATTAACACCTGATGTTTGCCTATGCTGCGAACTGATCCGGTTAAGTTGTCAAACTGTTGACCCTGCAGTCTTACCTACCGCAAACGTTTTCACGGAAAAATGATTGACAGGTTGAATATTAAGAAAAGGCCAATTAGCTTAGCTGCGATTTGTGCAACCTCGAGTGTTTCTCAGAATTCAAGATGGCCGCCAACATCGAATGCTAACAAATTTTCTTATTCTGATCTGGATGGCATAGAGGGTCGTGTAATATCTCATTAACAAGCTTATCATGGTTGCCGAGTTCATTTCTAGGCTTATTTTGGGGCTTCCATGTCCACTTTAAAGCCAAGTCAGAGGTGAAATACCAAATTCAGAGGAGACGTTTGACGTGTCGCGACATTTAGAGACCCTGAGCACAGCACTACCGGCCAGCACCCGTCACATTCCTCTGCTTTTTTCAGTCTGTTGTACACTTAGCTCCCGTTCGTTGCCTTCAATGTCCATCTGCTGACCGGTGCAACGGCTTTTAGCATTTTTTCCATAACGCTTGCAGTAGCATGTACACCAAAAGCCTGCACTGTGGCTGTTGCAGCTGCAGCGTGCAGCACTGCATGCCATGCTTTCAGCGGTGCAGCTGCAGGTCACTAAATCCAGGAGCATTTCGGGAGTAATTGCTACTGTTGAGACGCCCTTTATGCTGGTGGAGACTTCGGCGCTTCAACAGAAGTTGGCAGTATTTCTAGCTTCTCTTCGGTGGGAAGGAGGGGGGGGGGGGGAGGGGGCACGGGAAGCTTCTTCGCGGAGTGGGGCTTTAGTGTAGTGGGCCAGCTGAGTCTCTAAACTTTCGACTAGGCTTTCTGTGATCCCAGAAACTGGCTAAACGACGCGGTACAGCAACTGACCGAGGTCAACCAGCATCTGATCTGGCACTGCGGTCTCGCTGTCCAGCGTCACCATCGTGCACGCTCACTAGCAGCTCCTCCCTGGCACGCTGGGGAAGGTGCCTCATTTGTCTCACATGCCACCTCAGGTAACGGGCATAACTGACCTGCCATGAAGAAATACCAACAGGCCTCGGGTCACATATGTACCCACGTGTATCCCAATGAATCAGTGTTGGAAAACTTGACGTTTCCTGGTGTAATGTATGCCAGGGATTTTGTACTCCAGGATTGTGACTAGGTAAAATGAAATATTTTGTACTCCATTATGATGCAGCAACAGCTTTTGGAAAACTTATTTTAACTCTTTGTGTCAGGGCAAAATAAAACCAGGAGGTGCAACAACTTGAGACTTGCTGCTTCAATCAGGAGCCATGTATTGATATCTGCAAGAGCACAAATCTTGCACCCACCAGACTAAGATGCCCAATAGCAAGCAGCCTGTCTTGCCACCCAGGAATATGATAAACCATGTATGGAAATGTGAAAAAGTGTGTGAATGTTTAATGGAATCGCCTCTGCACAACACCGGGAAATGAGAAAAGAGTACCAGAATCGCACCGGTCTGTAGGTTAACAAAGCTCTCACTTCCCATGTTCGCAGACCAACTCAAACTTGAACATGACTTAACCTACCATTGACGACGAACCGCATTAATTGCCAAGGATGCAACGAACAGTCATAGAAAACCACACGTCCAATCACCTACCATAGACGGCCACCTACTCACGCAACACCACTGTGTCATGGCAATGCAAATAAGAGAATCACTCGCAATTCAACGTCGGAAACGTCTCAACTATTCAGCGGCTTGCGCCTGCCTCCCAGCTCAGGTTGGATGTTGATTGGTTTTATTATATTATATATTATATTATTCAATTGGTTTTAATGATTCGTCTCTTCGTGAATGTCAAGAGCGTAGACATTCTGCTCGCGCTCATGCCTTGAACATATTTGTAAACATTGGGAGGGAAGCTGTATAGAGATGGGCGCCACGATTGTGAACTTATATATACTTATTTGAACTCATCAAGAACCGCCCTGTGGTTGGATTTTTGGCAGCTTCCTGGCATCCGGAGTACAAAAATGTTACTGCAGCTGTGGATTTAAACCAAGCTAAATTTGTTACTTCAGGATGTGAAATTAAAGCTGGTAATTCGGGCTTTACAAAAATACCCTTTAAAGTCGAAAAACGTTGTTATAAATAGCCCAAAAACTGCTCGGAGACAGCCATCTCACTCCCACAAAAACACCAGGACAACCGAGTAGCATGAACCCATAACTTTGATCCGACAAATTAAAGAAAAGGGTTTATTAGTACTAAAACATCAGTTAATTGCAGCATAAATTGTCATGTTTCGCAATGATATCGTTGAAAGCGCATCAAAATTCATTAATACTTTGCATTTTCCGCCGGAGTCAGCGGAGTGACCGACTCCGATCCCTTTCGGCCGGCCTGCACCGGTCTGCCAGGCATTGTACTTGCGCTGGCTCCGTAAATTGGTTAAGAGGGCCGGCTGTCTCTATTGTTCGGGTGGGACGTGCAGGGCCTCGTGTGTTGACGAGGAGTCGGAAGATGGAGGGCATGAATGTTTGGCTGTTTTTAGAACCATTTAGCTGGTGGAGCGTGAGTAGCGTGACCACGGTGGAGCGTGATTAGCGTGATCGTGGCGGAGCATGAATAGGTGGCCGTCTGTGGCATGTTCATTTGCATTTGTTGTGTACCATTTTTTTCTGGCTGCGCGTTTCCTACCCCCCCCCCCCCATTTTGGAGGGTGTATAAGCCCGATGCGTAATTACCCTCTGTTTTAGAGGGTGTATACATAGAGCCTTCCATACATTGAAAACCCATGTATGTGCACATGTGTTTCATTGTACAGAGTATGAGACTATGTTGTTTCAGCGTGTCATGTTTAATACTGATGTTTCCTTTCATTTAAAGTGCTTTTGCATGAATTGCTGTGTATGAAAAGTGGTGCTTTTGTTGAACACCACTCATTGTAGTGTTATCTCTCAAAGATAACCTAAATAAAACTGCAATGACCCGCAGCACTTGGATAATTTCGTACTCCACTTTAGTAAATTTTTACTGCGCTACCAAAAAATTCTTTGGAATTTCCAACACGGCGATGAATGCGCTTTATGAATGAAGCGCTGGAGGAGAACCCATGAATTTTGCAAGTAGACGCTGGCCATTGAGAGAAGTTTTTTTGCACATTCCAATGTTGTGGTCATGTGGGCTTGCCTGACATTCAAAATGTTGAATTTTTACACATTTAGCTGGCTTTTTAGACGACATTCTTGGCTTTTGTATGCTTCCCCATTCGCGTAAAGTGAAAACAGATTGCTTGAGAAACGTCGGCAATGTATTTCTTGACTAAGAATGATTCAACATCAGACAGTGAAGGGAACACCACGGTTCAGCACGCAGTGTGCGCGGTGACAGAGCAGTAGCTGATGATGCTAGCTAACAAGCTGACACCTTCTCATGGAGCGCACGCCACGCAGTGGTGGTCACCGCACTACTGTTTGCATCCACAACCTGCATGACTGCATACTGCCATAAGGTCGACCTAGGATGGCCCTATTGACCTGTTATGGACTCGACCAGAATAGGCCTTGTCGACCTAACATGACCTCTACACTACAAGGTATAGCGGTGTGCATTAAAACCGTGGCAGTGCTGTCAGGAACATTCCAATGCCGCAGATGTACTGAGAGCGCATCAGCGCCTGTTCACACGTCCGGACGCTGGATACATTTTTGACTGGGTCAGCCTGTAATTTTACAATTCTCTGGTCGATTTTCTTCTGATTTGCTTCAACAACGTGCTAAGGTTTATTTGCAGGAAGGCAAAAGTATACAGATCTGCCCATTCATTGTGTAGGCCTCGCTGTCTTTTGGCTTACACTGTTTCCTAGACAGCAGACTGTCTCGCTTCGAATCAGTCACTGTACTGGGACTTCAGCAACTTGTGGAGAATCGCGATATAGGACCTCAAAGACTTTCTTGCCTCAATGTTTCTACGCCTCGATATACAGCTACAGAAGCCTGATTTGTGAGCTAAGGTATCCCGTCCCGACAGAGTTGTGTGCCACTCATCGCCAAGGACGTGGGAACCGGGGGCAGTGGGGACGGTTCGCCTCCGCCCCCCCCCCCCCCAACTTGAAAGCTGGGGGTGGGTGAGGGGGCGCCTTCAACCTGGAGGGCCTGTGGAGGACCCATTCGGGTATGCTAAGGGCCATTCTGGGCTGTTAAGGGGGCCCGAAGGCTGTAAGCCCGCAAATGTAAGTAAAATACATGTAGGTTCGTAAATGTATGTAAGCCTCTAAAAGTCCATGCTGTTGAGGGCTCATTCTTGCTTGTTTAGGGTGCATCCGGATCAAAAGAGGACACCTCTGACCCTGTAGAGGGTACTCTTGGGTCTGCAGAGGGCCCATTATGAGCTGCAGAGGGACCATTACTGACTTCGAGGGCCCATTCTAGCCTTTATGTGGCACATTCTGACCTATAGAGGGGCCATTCAGCCTCGTAGATGGCCCATTTTGAACTGTGGTTATCATCATTCTGGTCTGTATAGGAGTCATCTTGACCAGTAGAAGGACCATTATGGATTGGAGTGCCATTTTGGCTTGTAGAGTGCCCATTCTGGCCTGAAGATGGCCTGTTTGGACTAGAACGGGTTCCGTTATTGACTGGAGAGCCCATTCTGGCTTTGTAGACGCATCAATGGTTACTCTGGTATCTAGAAGCATCTAGATATAACTCTGGTACCACTACCACTAGAGGTACTAGATATCCACTCTGGTATCTAGGGGGTCCATTCTGAGCAGTATGGCGCCCATTTTGGCCGATATAGAGGACCCATTTTGACATGCAGATGGTATACTATAGATTCTATGGAGGGCCCATGCCGGCCTGTAGAAAGGATTATCTAGGCACATAGAGAACCATTCCGGCCTTAAAGTGCCTATTCTGGGTTAAGGGTGTCAGTTCTGGCCCGTAAGGACTCCGTTCTGACCCGTAGTGCCTAGTGGGCCCATTCTAGCATGCAGAGGGCTTATTACTGACTGTGGAAGTCCTATTTCGTCCTGCGGAGTGCCCATCGTGATATGTATCGGGCCCATTATCAACTGGAAAAAACCCATTCCGGCTTGTAGGGGGGGGGGGGGGGGGCACTATCTAATCCTGGGGCCACTGTGGCATTCCTCATTTGCCCTTCCTCCGCCTCCCCCGTCAACATTAACGTAGTTCCCGCGCTCCTGTATATGGCGTATCGGTGTGCAGCGGCGAGTTTTTGAACGGACGCTTGTACATTCGACAGAACATGTCTATGCAAACATCATAACCTGCTATAACACATACGTCGTGCATATAACACATGCTCATACCATCACGGTATTATAAGAAATGCCGCTGCTGCAAGTTGTACAACTATGAGTACGAGAAGACACCAAACGGCCTATATCGGTTAATGCAAGTAGTTTTGGTTATCTGCGATTATCTAACCCATCACCTTCAGTTCGACATTGGATTCGACCCTATGCGTGAAAACAGAAGTGCCGAAACGCACTCCCTGCCATAAACAACCATCAAAAACGGTGTCACACGGCCCTCTTAAGTCATCGAGAAAAACTGAAACTAGACCAAATCCAAGCTGAGGGCGGCTGCCACCTTAGAGGATGCTGAGAAATGTTGAAATTTGCACGAGGAACGCCTAAGCTAAGTTGGATTTTCTAACTACCTTGCACATATTTCCGTGAAAACGTTCGCAGTCGTCAACATTGCAGGGTCTCATATAGGAAGCAACGCGATCACCATCACTAAGAAGGATGGCAACTCGACTCATTTCAGTGCAGGTTCCAATGCCGGTACATTTTTGCAAAGACCACTACGGCCTATGAAGGTGCATGACACTATGAAAATGGTTGGTACCGGTGGTCTGTTGGTTTGCCTATGTGTCTTCCCGTGTGAGGGACTCAAAAGCACTGTGGAAGGCGGTATACTTACTAAGCGTAAGCACACGATTGGGCGATTATAACCAGGTTCTCGCAGCAAGTGGCGCGATCCAAACAAGTGGTGCACTTCGGGAATCGGTTGTATTTCCTGTGTCGCGTTAACCTTACTTGGGTAGGCAGTACAAGTAACATTGGAAAACACTCATCTAAAACGCATCAGTCAAAGCAGCTGTCGCTGCCGTTCACAAGGTAGTATTTTCACCGGAGTCGGAGGGGCCGTGTGGGTCTGTCCGGTCGGGCCTTGTCTCGGTCCTGACCGCCGCACATCGACCAGTGAGATTCGGACAGAGCGCGGCCGGGCTGGCGGCCCTACCAGACGCGGCAGCGGTGCGGCGGGTTCATCGGCGAGCCCGGCCGGCAGCCGAAGTCGACGGCAAACTCGGCCATGTTCGAGAACGGCCCGTTGATCCGGAATCGGTTGGGCACGTGCTCGCTGTCGAGCGCCGAGTGGCGCAGGTGCTCGATCCGGTCCGCCGAGCACCAGACGTTGGCGGCCGTCACCCAGAAGAGCTGGCGGCCGGTGAGCGGCACGTCCGGCAGTCGCGGCGGCCGGCGTAACGCCGCCCGCTGGTACGCCCGGTACGCCAGCCGCACGCCGCCGTTGTCGGCGATATTCTCGTCTTGCGTCAACACGCCGTTCAGCTGCAATGAGGACGCGGCGCCGTGGACAGGAGCTCGGGTCACGGGGCTCGGGGCGCACCCGGAGCGGGCACATCCAGCACTGGCGGGGCGGCCACCATCAACCAACACGACGGTACACGGGCACGGAATCACGCATCACAGAGCTAACATACCTTTAGCATATAGAAAGAGTGTGTCTTTGCGTGCATAGGTATAACGAATATCATACAGGTCATAAAATATTTCACGGTCGATGGAAGTCAAGTGATCCAGGCAGGAAGGATCGATGGCACCGCGGGCCAGCACTGAAGGCCCAGCGCGGCGTGGGACGCGCGTGGACAAGGGAGGCTGGGCGACGCCTCGCCACTCCCGCATGGGCGGCACCGGTGCGAGCGTCGGGCGACGGACGCGGACGGCGGCGCAGGAATGATGCGGAGAGACCCAGACGGCGCGCGCAGGTCAGGTGCCGGGCGGCTCTAGTGGGAAACGAGCCCCCAAGTGCTTATCATACCAAAACACAACAGGCGTCGGTCCCGCTGGCAAGGAGCCACGCCGCCGCAGTACACCATAACAGCTGGCACTATGTACAAAGTAACAAGAATTTCAGCCCCGCTGACCGCCGGGTTGCCGAGAAGGCTGGTCGGCGGAGGCGGCTCCGGCCGCGACGCGCGGTCGGCTCCCGGGCCCGCCGGCAGCGCGACCGTGCTGCCCTCTACCAGACGGTGCACTTGTGCGCCGGGTTCATGACCGAGCCGGCCGGGCAGTTCCAGTCCTGCGAGAACTGCTCCAAGTTGCTGAACGGCACGTTGATGCGCGCGCGCGCCGGCGAATGCGAGTCGGTGAGCATCCGGTTCTTGAGCGTCTGGTCCTTCACGGTCTGGCACCAGGAGTTGGCCGACGTCAGCCAGAACATCTGCTCGCTGCTGTACTGCTGTAGCCCCGGCAGCGCCGGCTCCACGCCGTGCTCCTCCTGGTAGCGTTGGTAGGCGCGGCGCGCCTCCTTCAGACCGCCGTTGTCCGCGATGTTCTCGCCCTGCGTGATGATGCCGTTGATCTGTGGGGGCAGAGGGCGCCGGCGGGCGTCAGCACGAGCTCTACGCACGAGCAGCGGCGGCGGCGGCGAACGGCACGAGCCAGGCGGCAGGCAACGGAGCTGCACGAGTGGCCGCAGTGGCCGGCCATTCGAGGCATGGCGAGAGCAAACTGGTGCCCGCTTCTCAGGGCATGGCGAGCAAAACGGCCAGACGGCTCGGTCGGCTACTCAAGGCTGGCGAGCGAACAGCGGACGACGGCCTGCTTTCGAGGCGAGCGAGCCAACGGCAGCAGACGGCCGGCTTATCGAGGCATGACGAGCGAGAACAGCGGCACGCCAGGCGGCGCATGCGTACAACGAGCTAAGTACGAGCGAGCGCCAGTCAGGCGTCGGTCTGGCACGCCGTGCGAATGTACAGCGCCTACGCGCGCGCGGCTTCCAGTCGGTGCGTACCTTCATGTTGATCTCGGGCACGGTGTAGTTACCGTACTGGTGGATCATGCACTCAGCACCCTTCAGGAAGCGGCGCTTGGTCACCGGCTCCCACCAGTCCAGCAAGTCGCCCTTGCTGTCGAATTGCCGGCCCTGCGCGGCCCGGACGGAAGGGAGTCGGTGAGAGCATCCGGAGGAAGCACCCATCGGTATCACTCCCGTAGATGTCATCCGCAATCCTTGCCTGAACTCACACTGCCAGGGAGCATGACGAATGGCAGGGTACCGTTTAGTATCCGACATTCAGCGCACATCAGCCCAGTCGGTAGTAATCAGAAAAATATCGCAGCTCCACAAAAGAGCTTGCCGGTTTCCACGTTCAATCGTTAGTCATTTAGACTTACAAGGACGTGGCAACAGGCCAACAAGTACCAGCATGTCCGCAATGCAGCCTCAGGTTCAGCGCAGTTGCCCTATCTCCCTGTATGTCTTCCGTTGCATCCAAGTAATGAGTCGTGTCCAGTGCTGCCACACTCTGGGGTTGCGCGGTCCACACCTGCGCCCCCTTCACGGCCGCAGTCTCCACCGGCCACGCACCGTGTCATCGAAGCCGTGGGTTATCTCGTGCCCGATCACGAAGCCGATGCCGCCGTAGTTCATGTAATTGGGCCGGTCGTAGTCGTAGAAGATGCCCTGCAGGATGCCGGCCGGGAACACTGTCGGGGAGGCGGAGCCGGTCAGCGGCGCGGGAGCCGGCTCCCGCGGCTGGACGTGCGCTCAGCTGTCGTGTGAGCCGGACTCCGTGCGGGACAACTGTCGGCCGGTTAACGACCTGCCGTTGACGTCGCTATGGCGACACATTTGCACGCCTCAGCCGCTGCGTCGCTCACTCTATCTCACCCGGCAACGAGGTGTGATTTATTCACGCCGGCGCGGGTAGGAGCTGAATCATGTCTGCCCATACCCGACGGCATATCCGACGCCTGAGCCAATCAATCCCCCAACGATCCCCGAGCAACTGGGCGGCCGCGCCGCCTGAATCACATGTGGCAGTCCACGTGCGCTCGCTCAGAGCATCCACCCCTGAACCCCGGTACAAGTGTCCGTTCAGCTGTGCTCACCCCGAGCGCACACGCAGATATGGTGTCGCCACTCACTGATGCTGTTTTCGATGGGGCTGTAGTAGGCGTTGACGACGGCCGCCGACCCGTGAGTGCGCCAGTCGTTCTTGTCGATGTGCTCACGGAGCTTCTTGAAGGCGTAGTTGGTGCCGAACACGCTCATGTTGATGTTGTTCTCAAAGTAGTGCTCGTCGTCGATGTACAGGCCGTCATATACTATGGCGAGCGCCGTCTCGTTCAGGATCTCCTCCGGATACGCGATGTGATAGTTGATGGCCTTCGACTTTTCCTTGGCGCGTTCTCTGCGTGGTAATGGGTCAAGGATCAGGCACTCGAGCCGCCACCGGTGCGCCAGCGGTGGCAGGCTAGCGGGCTTTGTGCTTCGCTGTCCAGCACAGAGCAAACAGAAGCCAACATGTTTGAAAAAGCCAGTCGCCAGGCCACAGGTCAGGCACAGTGGCGGCGGTGTGTCGGTGGACAGACGTCTGAAGCCGCGATGTCCGGCCCGTGGCCACCGCCCCACTCACTTGGTCTTGTCGTCCATCCAGGTGACCTCGCCCAGCATGATGTTGAACTCCTGATGGATGTGCTCGACCATATCAAGCGCCGCCTGCCGCGCCGTCGGGTCGAAGTGGTTCCGAACGTACAGCGAGCCGACGGCTAGCGACAGGCTGCAGCACAGGTCGTCAGCCCGTCACTCACAGGTCACCGACGACGGCTAGCGACAGACTGCAGCACAGGTCGTCAGCCCGTCACTCACAGGTCACCGACGGCTAGCGACATGACTGGAGGACAGGTCGTCAGCCCGTCACTGACAGTTCACAGTTCAGTCCGTCGCTAGCCGCCATAGCGGCGGCTAGCGACAGACTGCAGCACAGGTCCTCAGCCTATCACTCACAGGTCACCGACAAATGGTGGATTGCGCTCACAGCTCACTGCTTACAGATGGGTTATCCATGCTTACAGTCCTTCGCCCACAGCTCATCAAAAACTCACCGCTGATAGCTCACCACTCATCGCCTTCACAACACCGAAACTCAACTCACTGCTCACAGTTCAGCGTCGACGGCTAACCATTACCAGCTCGGGAGTCGAGACACACGCGTCGCGCCGGCCGTCTGCGCCGTTGGGATGCAGCCGACGGGAGCACGTCTCCGGAAATATTATCTCAGAAGACGGCCGGATCGGATTACGCATTCTGAGGCCGACTACAAAGTGGCGCCGCGCGGCCAATGGTATCGCAGCGGTCGCACGCGCGCCCGCCAGTCTCGCCCGAGTCAATATTGAACGGCGGGCCGCGGCGACCGCCGGCGAATCCCGACCTGTCGGCATCCGCCGCAGAATGCAACGGAGCCTCTCGGCGACTGCAGCCTGGCAGGGAATATGTGGAAAGTGCGGCGCTGCTTGATGCTCGGGTTTGCACGCGGCCATTGGGCATGAATTTTGCATGTAAGTAGTAGTGCATTATAGGTGATCGGAACGATTTAACCCCATTGCTGATGAAAAAGGTGCGGATGAAAGCCCTGAGATCAAGATTAAAAATAGAAACCTATGAAAAATAAAATAGCCGAAAAGATTGAAATATAAAATATAAAATTAGATTATTTAAAGATTAGAGAAATATTGAAGATACCCCATTTGAAGGAACATAAACAGTCGATATTAATGGTCAATCTTATCATACCGATCATGTATCTCAAGTGTAGGTCCAGGGTTTCATTTGGTTCCATGTTAATTGCATCCTGGGATCGGATCCTGGAATCTATTTGGGGGTGCCAGGCCCATGTCTGACGGATATACTACTAATAACGGGTGAGCTCGAGTCGGTATCTTATCCCGTGCCAGTGGCCACATTTTTAATTGTCCAGTTGCCTCGTCTGCAGCCATGTTCGGTGCGTACCTGCCCATGACACCCTCGAGGCACTCCTTCCAGCGGGGCTTGCGCTGCGTCTGGCCGGTCAGCTTGGCCGAGAACTCCAGCTGCACGTCACGCGCCTCCTCCGTCAGCATTCCCACCGAACCGTACACCACACGCCACAGCATGTAGTTGGCCTGTACCCTGCGCGCGAGCAAACAGAGGAGGGTCAATACACATCGTACCACATCATACAGCTGGCCTGTACCCTGTGTGCGGGCAAACGAGAGAAGGGCCAACACAGCTCGCACCACATCACACGGCTGGCCTGGATCCTGAGCGCACGAACAGAGGCCCCAGTGTCACTAGCGGCGCAGGACACGGCAGGCTTGTAGCCATGCCCGCTCTCTTTCCCACCGCAATGTGATAGAAAACGTCCCTGCCGACCTTCATTCGCGCATCTCGATGCACTCTGCTCAAACGAAGCAGTGCAGTTGGTTTGGAGGGCATCTTAAGGCGGAGCTCCCCTGCCTGAGCGCTGGTTGCGGGGGGGGGGACCTGGCGCCAGCTGGCTGCAGAGGCGGAGGGACGCGGTGCCAGCTGGCTGCGGAGGTGTGGGACATGGCGCCAGCTGGTTGCGGAGGCGGGGCGCACGGTACCAGCTGACTGCGGAGGCGGGGGACACGGCGTCTGCTGGCTGCGGAGCCAGGAACACTGCGCCAGCTGACTGCTGAGGCGGGGGGGATGACGCCAGCTGACTGCGGAGGCTGGGGACGCTGCGCCAGCTGACTGCGGAGCCTGGGGACACGTCGCTAGCTGGCAACTCACCTCTTGGGTGTGACCTCGAGCAGAGCGGCCGCCTTCTTCACGTAGTCGGGCACGTCCACAATGACGGGCTCGTCGGCAGTGACCTGGAGATGACCGGTCACGGGCTCAGACGCACCCTCCGGCAGCGCTAGGGCGCCAAATCACCCCACTCCCAGGAAGCCAACGTTATCGCCCGGGTACCAGAAATTGATGGCAAATGGGATAACGTGCTTAACAAACGCCCATGTTTATTTGGTGTAAGCGCGTATTAAAAAGGCAAACCACATTTTCATCTAAACAACGATTGCACAGCATTAATAAAATGTGGTGCCAGTGACATCCGGTAGAATACGTTGAAATAACGCGAAGGTTTGCCAACATAACTATCACTAGATGAGGATGGGTTTTTCCAATGGCTGATCTGTGTGCAGCACCACGATGTGGCTGGGTGGCGGAATTTCCAGAAACAGCGTTGTTTAAATGTTCATATTCGTGTTTCATCTCGTGGTTTAAGTTTCATCGCAGAACGCGTTGCGAAACAACCATTTTCAGTTTGATCTAGTAGGTCGCATCGGATTACTACGCGGCTGAAAGTGTAGCGTGTAATCTAACGGTGACAAATGACCAAACCTGCGATCGCTGACGAAAAGACAATACGTCGCCAGCAACCATCTCCACTTTGCCTCTCATCAAGGGATCAACTTGCCCCACACTGACAAAATAAATTGGCATACGATGCACAATCTGAGCGTTATCAGCACCCCCAGCAATGTTTGTGGGGGTCGCCTAGCCTGTTGTGCGGCGGGACGGGACGCCCCTAGACGCCGTCCTCGGCCCGGCCGTGCCGTGGCGGGCGCCGGCGGGACGGGACGCCTCTAGACGCCGTCCTCGGCCCGGCCGTGCCGTGGCGGGCGCCGGCTGACGGGCGCACGGCATACCTGATGTCCGGCGGCGCGCAGCAGGTTGTTGACGTACGTCACCCAGGGGATGTTAGGCGCCAGCCGCGACATCTCGCCCAGCGTCATCTTGTTGTAGAGTTTGGTGATGTTGCGCCGCTCCTCGGCCGGCAGCGATATCTGGCGGCGAGACGCGTCGCAGCTCTGTCAGCCGCAGCCGGCCAAACATGACCTGTCGCGCACACCTGGGCCCGCGACGGTCATAACTTTGCCGTGGGAGCCGGCGCCGAGGCGCGCATCTGCTGCAGACGTGCTGCGTTGAACAACGGCGACGCGAGCAGCGGGCCGCCGCTGAGAGCCTCGCAAACTTCGGCCCTGCCATAGTTACAGCCGGACGGCGTAAGACAGCGGCAAACTAACGGACGGATGGGCTCCAACAATGCCGACAAATGCGTCTGTGGGGCACGCCAGCCGCCAAGACCACCTGGTGGTGTGCGGTGGTCAGGTGTGCGTCGCGGTCAGAAAAGGTCCGTAGACCACCTGGCGAAGATGTGTGTTGCGGTCAGAGGAGGTCCGTCGACCACCTGGTAAAGGCGTGCGTTGCGGTCAGAGAAGGTCCGTAGACCACCTGGCGAAGGTGTGCGTTGCGGTCAGAGAGGGTCCGTAGACCACCTGGCGAAGGTGTGCGTTGCGGTCAGATGGGGTCCGTAGACCACCTGGTGAAGATGTGCGTTGCGGTCAGATGGGGTCCGTAGACCACCTGGCGAAGGTGTGCGTTGCGGTCAGATGGGGTCCGTAGACCACCTGGCGAAGGTGTGCGTTGCGGTCAGATGGGGTCCGTAGACCACCTGACGAAGGTGTGCGTTGCGGTCAGATGGGGTCCGTGGACCACCTTTCCGAAGGTGTGCGTTCCGGTCAGAGAAGGTCCGTGGCTGGCGTGGCACGCGGGAACACGCCGCTCTACACTTGCCATTCGTTATTTATGGTATCGACAAAGTGTTGGAATGTTGGCACACGTTTGTGACCGGGGAAAATCCCGAATTCGACGGGGCAGCCGACAATATCAAAGCCCTCTAAGATCCTGTACCATGACTCAAACGATGCACTCACCCGTGAGCATAGCACGCTATTGTTTAATGCTTGGCATCCACGGTATGCCGAGCAAAGTAGTCGAGCCGGCATGCTGAGGTTGACCCGAACGCCGTCAGTTGGCGACCGCAAGACGTTTGTCAAACATCATAAATAACGCACCCAGTCCCCCTGGGCCCGCCCGACGTCGTAACTCACGTTGGCCAGCTGGATTTCAAACAGGAGGGACTCCTTCAGCTCGGAACGAGCGCGCTCCTTCTCAGCTCCCAGCATCACCGCCATGTCCACCATGTACTTGTAGTAGGCCTGGATGTCCGGGTCATCGAACCCTGCCGACGCGCGGACAGCGGTACACATGGGCTGGTCGTGAGTGGAAACGGGGCACGACAGAGCGCCCGGCTCGCCCTGGCTCGGGGTGGCTGTCGTCTTCAGCTGCCGTGGTGTGCCGCGACTGATACGGACATCGTGTCACTCGCTCGTGGTTTGTCCAGCACACTACAACTCACGTTGAGTAGATCAGTCATGAACGATGGTAAAGGTCGCCGACGAATTGCCCAAAGCAGGCAGAAGAGCACCGTTGCAACGGGAAACAGCCCCTCCCCCCCCCCCTCTCCAGAAAACAAGCTGTGCGTTGCTGGTGGTCATGTCACGTTCTCCCACCGGTAGCACCTCACTGTGGCCTTGTCCCATAAGCAGCATACCAGACGGCACTCCTTCGTATGCATGCGATCGCCTTGAGCAGAGGGTAAACACCATACGTTATGCCACCATACTGCGGTAGTACAAACCGGCCTTGCTTGTTGCAGACCCTGTTGGCCCCTCGACACACTGACCGCAGTATTCAGGGTTAATGTTACTGCCTGCAATCTGAGTGCATAATGTTCACGGACTGCCGCCGAGGAATGGCTGTGCTGGCATCTTATTCAGCCCGCTGGTAATGGCCATGTCTGCAACATGACATTCAGTAACACCTATATGTCGGCGGTAGATTTCCTGTCGAGCATTAGCACGCGATTGCTGCTCCCCTAGCCAGAGCCTCCAAGATAAGAAGCGAACCAATTTCGAGTCATGGCCTCACATCTGAGGGGCGTTTCCTTGGCGAGAGCGTGCTGTCACACCTTGACCGCGCGAAAGGCTGGCAAGATTCAGAGCCAAACGTGCCGCTGATGCAGGCAATATGTGGGCGCGCCTGGATGGCGGCGCGCCACACAGCAGCAAAGCCACCTCCCGGGACGATGTTGCCTCCCCCTCTCTAGATCCCTCTCCTCGTGCTCACCCTTGATGAGGTACTTGCGCGGAAGACCCAGCGAAGCCTGGTCGAAGTCAAGGATGCGCCAGGAGGAGTTCTTCACGTCGGTCGTAACGGAGAAGTCGAACATGTGGTCGATGGAGTAGCCGAGCGCGCGGTTGCGGTAGATGGCTCGCGTCCAGTGGAAGCCCTCTTCGTCCCACTTGTCGCCTGGCAGAGGTCCGGCGGGCGTCAGGCAGGGAGGGGAGGGGCGATATTGGAGCTCAGCTGCGCCGGGCGAGCTTCCCGAGCTTCACCGACGACACGGAGCCGGCTCGGAAGCCCCACCGCGCACCGCGGGCCGCGCGCGGCGTAACGTGATGCCACCACAAACCCGACGATGTGAGAGGCCACCTCTGTTTTCGGGCGTCGGGTCACAACGCAGCGATGACACAACAGGGCCTGCTGCGCCACCAGTTGAGCGCGACGCAGCGTCTATCCGGCGGCATACATTTCAGCGCATATTTGACGGCGGCCGATCCGTCGTGCAAAAACACGGAGGGCAGCGTGTCGCTACCGGACGGTGGGCTGCGAAGTCCCATCGATCAAAGCGTCGGCGCGAGGCGAGACCTTTCGCTGACCTTCGACCACCGGCCAGCCTTTCATCTTCTCCAGGACGTCCTGCAGCGGCTGTAGGCCTCGCTCCTCGATCCTCTCTGGGGTGGAAGCGGCGGCGTCATACACAGGCTGCGCAGACATCCCCGCGACGGATGCTCCGTACAACAAACGGTGGGACGAGACGAGGCGAGAGCTCGGTGAACGTGCCAACAACGCCGTAATATTTGTGTTCGCGCACTAGCGGTACAGCTTTCTTCAGAATGTCCGTGATCCCAAAGAGACTGAGTGACAATGACTTGAATGACTGACCGTACAGCTTTCTTTAAAATGTTCTTGATCGCGGAAACACAATGACTGACGATGATTGACTGACTGACTAACTGCCTGCCTGCCTGCCTGCCTGCCTGCCTGCCTGCCTGCCTGACTGACTGACTGACGACTGACTGACTGACTGACTGACTGACTGACTGACTGACTGACTGACTGACTGACTGACTGACTCATTGACTGACTGACTGACTGACTGACTGACTGACTCTGACAATGGGAGTGCTGATGGCAATGCATTCAGGTTCACCGTGTAACTCCGACTTTCATACACAGTGGCGTACTTTCAAGCTGTAACATATACATCACAAAAGCACGAGGCTGGATGCCCCCCCCCCCCCCTCCCATCCCTATCACTCCACGTGGCCGGTGATTCCACGTGTGGCGACCAGCCCCGAGCTGGGCAAGTGAAGGTGGCTTTCGAGGTCCCACCGCCGCCACGGCGTCACGCCTTTCTCCTCTCACCAGCTTCCTCCCGGAGCGCCACGAGCCGACGGGCTCGCCGCAGGTTGGGAAACGCTGGGAACGGGCGAGCCCGACAGCGGATTCGACGCATTGACGTGGGCGCGCGGCCGGGTCCCGCGCCGCCGCAGCAGCACGCTTGCATGCCAGCAACAGGGGCTGCCTAATAAGTGGTCTCCAAATATTGATCCGACAAAGGATGCGCATAATGAAAGCAGATCGTGCCACCTGTGTTAGTCCCACCACATGCGACCTCGGTCTATCCACTGGCAGGATGCATCCCAAGAGCCTCCACGGTAAGCCTCCAAGTGCTTGCTGCAAACGTGCGGCAGCGGCACTCAATAGCTCATTTTTAACGCATAGGAGTTGCGGCAGCTTCTTTGGTTTGAGTGGTGTCCCTTTTTGCTTGGTGCCACTTAACGAAATCACTGAATCTGGACACCCGTTTTGGTAGTGATCCAGTGCTACGCAGCTTTCTCTGTATGACTCACAATATAGTGTTCTGAGTTCAGCAGCTAGATGTAAAACAGTTTGAGAGCCATAGCACGTATAAACCGACCAAGGGCGACGTGACCGCAAGGACTGCGTTAATTCAGCACGATGGCCGACCTGCCGCCGTCAGCCACGTTATTATCGAGATTCAGCACACTTCCGAATGCAAAGCGCCGGCTCGGCGCCCTTCACTGCGTCATGCACGGCGACCGTGAGGCCCGTTGCACCGCTGTAGGCGACCCGGCGGCGCGCAGTGCCAGCGATGAAACTCCACCACAAATGTAACTCGACCACGGGGGCGTCGCTCCGGCCGACGGCGGGCAGCCGCAGCCGCGCTGCACCGGTCGTCGCGGACGCCCCGCGCCCCAGAAGCTGTAACCCCCGAGACCCGAGCGGCGGTCGGCCCGACGACGCCGCGCCGCGCCGGTCGTCGCGGACGCCCCGCGCCCCAGAAGCTGTAACCCCCGAGACCCGAGCGGCGGTCGGCCCGACGACGCCGCGCCGCGCCGGTCGTCGCGGACGCCCCGCGCCCCAGAAGCTGTAACCCCCGAGACCCGAGCGGCGGTCGGCCCGACGACGCCGCGCCGCACCGGTCGTCGCGGACGCCCCGCGCCCCAGAAGCTGTAACCCCCGGGACCCGAGCGGCGGTCAGCCGACCACGCCGCGCCGCACCGGTCGTCGCGGACGCCCCGCGCCCCAGAAGCTGTAACCCCCGGGACCCGAGCGGCGGTCGGCCCGACCACGCCGCACCGCCCGATGCATCGACACGCTCCTCTGACGCAGCGACCTTGACGTCGACATCCAGCGCGATCAACGCTCTCAGTCATTACTGCAGACGCCCGTCGACGCCGACAGCACATCCCGGGGCTTTGTGGTTCCCGGTACTACGCGCAGTTGAAGGCGGCCATCACCGGCGTCTGAGTGTGCTCCGCGGCAGTTGGGCAGACCCCTGCGAGGTCCGAGTGGCCTGGGCGCAGCGCCTCTCGGCCGTACCCCGGTCACCTGTCCCCTGCCCAGCAACCAACATGAGCAGTCAGTCCACGCTCGACGATCTGTGAGGCTCAAGCCGCTAGCCGGTTCAATTTCATGGTGTCGAAAGGTCGGCGGCGGACTCCGTGACCCACCGATGAAGACCCCAGAAGGGTGGTCATCACGACCAGGTAACGTCGCGGCTGGGATGAGCTGGGCCGGCGGTCCAGCGGTAATGGGGTGGGCTGGATAAGTGTTCAAGTATGTGTGGTGGTGGCTAGACGCAGTCTGTCTGTGTTCAGTTCGGTCGCCTCTGATACTGACTCAAGTCCAACAGAGCCTGTGGTGGACTGGGCAGCCGGTCAGTCGTATGTGGCGTAGACTGCATAGCCCTGCCGGCATTTGTAACAGCTGTGTCAGCCTATCCGCTGGGCGACAGCTACTCAGATACTCGCGAGGCACCGCAGACATGCAGCCTGGCCAGCGGCCAGTACTCGCCTACGCTATCCTCTGAAATCCCGACACACCCAGCGACCTCCCGCCGCGGGCAGCAGGCGCAGGCGCCTCGGCATAGTGCGTCGCCACCGGCGCTCCCGTCCCGCGGAGCCGCGTAAAAGCGTTCCATGCCGCTAGGCTCGCGTGTGAGCGGCGCGTTTGTTATCCTTCCCAGAGGACCGGAATCACGTAGTTGTTGATCTGTTCCTGAGACTGCATGCTGCCTGCAGGGCACAGACGAAACCCACAGCGCCTCGTAGGACGCTGAACTCTCCATCTCTGCACTGAAGTCTCAATCTGCACCACTACAGCGGCCACTGGCTCCGGACACGCCCTGCCTCGGCCTGGCAGCCGGCCGGCGGTACCGGATGTGGACGCACTGCCAGCACGCGGCGGAAATGATGCGGCGGCTCGGCACAGTGGGCGCGCTATGCTCGAATTCCGGCCGACTGCGACGCAGTTAACACGGCCTGGGGGGACCTGGCGCGCGAGGTGATGGCAACACTGGGGCCCGGTCAGCCCGCAGTGAGTCCTCCAGCTGAGAAAGACGGCACCACCAAACCCTCCGGCCGAAAAAGACAGCGTTGCCGGGTCCTCGAGGCGAGGTAGACGGCACCAACAAACCCTCGGAGGAAGATGGCGCCAACGAGTCCTCGAGGCGAGCAGGCCGCACCGCCTAGCCCTCGGCCGAGGAACACGGCGCCACAGAGTCCTCCAGGCGAGACAGACCGCACCGCCTAACCCTCGGCCGAGGAACACGGCGCCACAGAGTCCTCCAGGCGAGACATACAGCATCAGCGAGCCGTCTTCCCGGTACAGGCGGAACGGAGTGCCCGGGCCCGGGACGACACCATCGAGAGCCCTTGGGCTACCGACTGCAGTGCAACGCCGGCATCCGCTCACTACAGACCATCCAGTGACGTAAGTGACTCCTCGGCGGCCCGACTTCTAGTCTGGATGCAATATAACTCATAAACACTGGCCAGCTGACCTCATAGAGGCCCACGCGTCACGCGGCACGGCGCAGTTAAGCGTCATAGGTCGCGACAAAGTTTTTCGCCGTTACTCTCGGCTCCATCGGCTCCGAAATCAACACGGATTTGTTGACACGCGGCGTTTGAACGGAATCGGCTGCGAGGCGCGAGTGACTGGGGTTTCCAAGTCCTTTCACTTTCATCCGAGCGGCCGGAGAGAGCTGCAGAGCGGCGAGAAACGCTCTCAGCGACTCACGCGCCGGCGAGCTCAATGCATAGAACCGAACGCAGAAAGACGCGACTTCGTGACAAGAAAGACAAGGGTGAAATCCCGTGATGACCTTGTACACCCGAAGGTTGTTCGCCTCTGGCATGACTAGCTGTTTTATTGTTGTTTTCTTGTCGATCGGGAGCAAACAATCGTCTGGCCTTTGACAGGAAACGACTGACAGCATGAGCAATGCACATGTGACTCCGAGTAACTGCACGTGCCTCCTGATGTGTCTGTGCTGGCGCCAGAGAACGATAACCTTACTCGGCTATCATCATTCTCAGACCAATATCCCGGATGAGCCTAGAATCAGTCGCACCATTCGGAGCCGTACCGCCCGAGTGGTTTTTTCTTATCATGCTATCTGCGCAGCGCCATGTTTCTCAGTTCTGCCCGAACAGTGCCCGCCTCTGCCACACTCGAGCATGCCGACCAATGTGACCGCGACACCAAACTCCAGTCTGGGCTCGCACTATCCGGGGCTGCATGGCCAGATTGATTTTCTCGCCATGCCGCGTGCACGAGGCGGCCCGCTTTTCAACTCCGCCCCAACCACCACGTCTGGCCCAACCGTCAGGTGTTAACATCCGGGCTGGGCCTGTGGCCGCTCGCACCGCTCGGGGCCCTGACCTTTCTCCTTGCAGCTGACGTAGAGGTTTTTGATGAGCTTGGTCGCCTCGGGCTCGTCCTCGGCCACAGGCGCCTCCACCAGCTTCCGCATCTTGTTCTTCAGCGCGTCGGCGACGACCGTGAACTGCGAGATCGACGTCTTCTCGTCCGGGATAACTGTGCTCTTGAGGAACGACCCGCAGGCGAACTCGTAAAAGTCATCGCACGGATTCACGCTGGTGTCCATGTTGGTCATGATGGTGTACGCTGTAAAAGACAGTGATTGCGTTAAAGCGGCCTCTGTGGTGCTCTAGTTATCAACCCAACGGAGCGGCCGACGACGCATGGTGGACCGTATGGGTGATGGCGGCTTTGGAACTATATCCTTCCACACAGCCCCGGTTTCGCCATAGACGAACTCAGTGAAAAGTGGCTGAAAGCGTGCTAATGAAACGACCATGGCAGATTGGAAGCCGACCGGACCCCACTTTGCGGCAATTATCCACCTCACTTTAACGTGAGCCCGCTTGTAGAGAACCATTATCGGGAAATATTTGACAAGCCATCTCGGATCATTTATCAGGCACTTTCATCAAACATCAACCTTTTTCAAAAACGGTTTCCGAATCATATACAACCGTTGATGGTGTCGATGAATGGGAACCGAACGCAGATTGTATGATGTTCTAGTGTCCGTGCTGCACCCCTACGTAAGCACCCTTACCTAGAGAACTACAAGCGAACAATTATCCGCTCGCCTAACAAAATAAAGCCGAGATATTTTGCCGGCATTCTCTGACGTACAACAGACAATGGAACTGCCAGCGCACGCATCGGACCAGCGGTTTTCGCGCCTGCGTTGGGCCGACTGATCACCATCGGGGTCCTCCGCTGAGTGCCTTCTCGCCGCTGACAGGGCCCGGACGCCGACCCGACTCGGCCGGCCCCCGGCAGCGCCGGCACGCCTCTGGGCGCCAGCAGCGGACCACACCACCGCCCGCGCTCACCTGCCTGAACGCAGCCCTTGGTGAAGCAGATGTCCTCGATGTGGTGCCGCGGACCGGCAGCCTGCGAATTCTGTGCTGCGGAGATAGAGCGTCGCTCTATCAGGTGCTCCGAGCTACCTGTACCTGCTGAGGGGCGTAGGAGGAGGAGAGAAGAGGAGAAAGAGAGAACGAGAGAGCAGGAGTTAGTGCAGGGTCGAGTGCAGGTGCAAACATTGCGGACGTCTGCACATCTCGTCGCCGCGCGTCGTGTGACTATCCCGTCCGTCAGAACGTCAGCTGTCTGCGGCATACACAATCAGACCGGCCTTCTTCAGATATGGCCGCCTCTCTGCAACGCTATCATACGTGCCGCCCCTCACGATCACAGAGTAGTGGCAAGCTCTCGGAGTACGTCGATAAGAACTATGTGAACATGACGCTGGGGTGGTCTCTCGCAAGCAAAGCTGGCCCTGGCAGCGATAAAAAGGCAGCCGCCTTCAAGATATTTAGGTCACCACAAGGCAAAAGTGGGCCTTCCAACTGTTTGTAAACCAGGACGTCTGAGGTCACGGCCAACAAAGCTACCGGCCATATACTGTCGTGTGACTGAAGGGAAGTTGAGATGGTGTACATTCAAGCTCAAGCTTTGAGTACGATCGTTAACTCGTCTCCCCAACTGAATTTGCGCAATGCGCAGCTGGCAGACATGCCAGGCTTCGCAGGAAATGTTTTGAGCATATGCTGGGGCTCCAGTTCCATTCATCGGGGTTTCCCGACGCTTCTGAGCCTCTTCCGAGTCAGTTCGCTGCTTTGGCGTGGTGCTAAGAGCCAGGGGCGCGGCGGAACAGCCAGGCGAATAGTCAAGTCAAGAAGTCCGTTACAGGGTGCTGACCTCGAGGTCACTACCTGTGCCGGGCCGTGCGAGGTAGGGGTCACCGACACCGCCAACAGAGGTCAGAGGCGCATGCGGAAGACGAGGGCCACAGACGGGGTGTAAAGAACAGCGCTAGTCTACACCGACCGGTTCCCGGCAGTCGCGTGTTCCATGTCGGCCGATCTGGGTCACTGGCGCGGCCCGTCGCGGCCGGACCGGCGTTCGCAGCCCGCGGCTACGCCGCCCGTCCGTCGCGACCCACGCGCCGGCACTCAGAAGCGGGGAGAGCTTCGCAAGCGTCCACCGAGGCTGTCTGACAGCAGAAGCCCGGAGGCTGCCCGCGGCATGTGCGACCTTATGACCTTAAGACCTCATGCGAGGCCACAGTTTGGAGTTTGTTCGTGCGCGCGCGATGTTTTTGGGTGGCGGCATCCGTGACCAGTCGAGGCCTACAACAATGCCTCATTCTGATCAACGATAAAAACCATTCGCTGCGCAAGAACCGGAAGGCCAAACAATGCGATGGTGGCATAGCAGCAACAATTTGCGCATCTGAAACGTGTCACATTTTGAAACGACCGGCGAATGGCTCACCATGCGCGGCACTGGGAGAATCGTAAGTGGCGCGCTTTGCGCGCCGGTCAAGCCTCAGTCGGATGACGCATTGCGAAGGTCTCTTGGTCCAAAGTCTGTCACACCAACACCAAACGTGCAGGAAATGTGCAGTGTACATTAGGGACATCACTGCGAGAGAGAGTGAGAGAGAGAGAGAGCGGATGGACAGACGCCCCTCAACACAAGATATTAGCCATGTTGTAGCACTTCACACGAATAGGACATCGAGGCGATACCGAATTATATTGAAGGGTAATCCTATGTTCCAAAGGAAGGCTCACAGTTCTTTTAGTGCAGCAAGACTTGACTTAACTGCCTAAAATGAACTGAGAACCAGCTTTCAGGATACTGAGAGTGTTTCCCGGTAAAACGATAGGCGCAGCAAGAACAGGTTCAGCATCAACAAACAAAAGTGTACGAATTCGCACCTTCAGATAACGGCAATATGATTAACCATGAAATTAGCAGTTAAAATATGCGCTGGACAAACAAAGATTATAACCAACTTAGCTTAATTAATTTCATACATGATTCACTTTGGCTTTCCGGGACATTTGTTTACATATTGCTCAGACCATAAAAGAAACAATTAACGCGATATGTTTATCCCTCTCTACTTGGCTCAGCGCTTCAATATGTCTAAAATTTTGAATAACAGTCTCACAGCTAGTCCTCGATATCCTATTAAACTCACACAAAAAGTAATAAAAAATTGACAGGTAAGTGAAACAAGACATCTTATTGCACTTTTGGCATGCCCCGCGTATAGAAAAGACGCTTGAACCATGATCCTCGTACCGTTTGCCATTATATACAGTGGAAAAGTGGTTGCTATACACAGCATACAATTCCAGTACGCGATCCTTCCCACTACTAGTTGACTACTCGACTGAGCTCAGGACAGAACATTTGCCGGTAGGATATCCGTTGTGTAGATAAGTGGTGAACTGAGATTCTGCAATAAGATAAGTGGTGATCCTACTGAGATTCCGACTGGGTACTCTGATAAGTAAGTGCCGCCAAAATTTTCAGCTCCGTAGGCGTAACGCTTCCGTATACTCCAGGCAAGTTACCCTAATTGGTTTGGAGGGATAGCCAAGACCCAAGCGTGCGTACAAGTAAGGTAATGCGTGATTTCGGCGCAAATTTTATCCTTATCTGGCCTACAAATTTTTTCCAACTAAGATGAGCCACGTGATTTCACATTTAAACGTCCGCAGTGCTCACCTGCTTTCACTATGAACATGCGCAGAATTCACCACCCATTGATCGCTGGCTAGTCATCGACTAAAGCGTACCACATGGTGAACTGAAAACTAATCCCCGGAGACCTTGAAATTGGTGCGGCTTTGGCGAGGATAATGCTCCAAGTATCTTTCCCTAAGAAAGAATACTTCCACAAAGACGCATTCCAACGCATCATAATGCACAGCATCTGCCTTTTTCGCCAGGCATTCCCTCACGAAAGTTCCTCCAAAAACGGCCAACTGAAATAGTCAGCAAAAACACTCAAAATTGCGATAGTAATCGACAAGAATGCCATCACCGTATCAGCACGACGTTTCATGGAAAGATTAGTGGGCAAAAAGACGATGCGAAGTGTTTGTGGTCAATGCTGCTGGGAGGGAAGGAGAGCTGGGTGAAGCCGGAGGAGGGTGCGCGGATCTGGCGGCAACCGGCGCCGCCAGCCCCGTCACTCACGCGCCGAGACGGCCACCAGCAGAACGGCCACGGCCAGACCAACGGCCATCAGGCCCAGCACCGTGGCCAGCAGCGCCAGCCGTCTCTCCAGGCCGGAGCGGCGAGCCCACCATGTCCCCGACCTGGCGGTGCGAGCCAACTCAGTCAGCGCCGGGCGACGCGGGACAGCATGCACTGCACAGTTCAGGGCAGGTCACGCGCGGTTAGCAATGATCTTAACGGGTCAACACGGGTCGGCACGGACCCCCACAGGTCAGAACAGGTTAGCGCCGGGCGACACAGAATAGTGCGTACTGCACATGCCAGGACGGGTTCCGCGCGGGCCACCACAGGTCCTTATGGGTCAACCCGAGTCGGTGCGGGTCAGCACGGACCAATACGAGTCAGCAATGGTATACACATGCCTGCAGATACTTAGACAGGGTAAAACGGGCATCGCACACCGAAAAACTCTGCATGACCCATATATACCAGCAAGAAATGGTCAACGTGAGCTTGACCATGAAAGGGTTTGCTCAGCTCACTCCACATCGCTCCAGCTCACCACAAATTAAGCAGATTACCGCCGTTTAGCACACTTTAACATGCAGTCGACGGGCTGCAGTGTTCCCGAATGCGTTGCGACATGAAGTTAAATACTTTAAATGGACAAAAAAAATATTTCACACGCCAGGCTGAGGGGCCGATACTGATTGCAGTTTTGCAAATGTTCGCAGCGACGGCACTCCTCTGGTGACTTATCCACACGTGGTAAGAGACAGCAGGAAGCTGTCACTTCAATAGTGACCAACACAGACGCGGCTTCACCAAAGAAGGTGCTATTCTATTTGTAGGTAGACGTATCTACATTGCAATTCGAATATTCATATTAAGAATACATAGGCGAAACGTTCAATGGCAAGTATGTTATCCAATGTTAGCCGTGAAAACCCGAATAATGCCACGGAATAAGGTTAAGAAAAGGGGGGACTGTAAACTGGGTGAGGACTGTAAACTGGGTGGAATGCCACGAAGCCGGCGTATTCTAACCTCCAGAATATGATTCTAAAATGCGCTGAACACAAAGACATCACGAGGTGAATGCACCAGCACGCCTCCGTGATTTTAGCAATTAAGTCTGCACGATTATAGCCTACTGGTTTAGTGAGAATAGCAATTGTATGAGCATGCCATTGAAATTATCATGTTTCGTGGAGACTCAAACCAGCCAACTACATATGTTTATGTCATGATTAGGTTGCATCCCTATGTAGCTCGAAGTCACCGTCACTTACTGTGCATGCTTCCTAGCTCACACAAAAGAGTGAACAGATTACAAAATGATGATCGGCAAGGTCTCTGTTTAAATTGGGTGATAAATGCGTCAGTGGTTCTGCAGTGTATCCTGGTTATATATTATATTAATGCCGTGACATGGTAGCCGCATCGGCTGAGGTCCATACTCTATGACCCCCCCCCCCCCCCCCCCTCCTCTAGTCAAGCGTCGTGTGCCGTCACACGAGGTAAAAAAATCAACTAATCTGATAAATCGAACCAATCCAATAGATGATTGACATCTAGCAGACGGCAGACGGGGAAGCAATATGTCGGTTTGCTGCCAGCCAGGAAATAGCGTTAAAGCCTGGGAGCTCGACAATGCACTCTCCCAGGCGGCATGGTGACATAAATGAGAGCTCATCGTAGTATTCCTAGGAAGTCTTGAGTTGAAAACACCTATACACGTCACGTGTTGTAAAAACACAAAGTCCTAAACACACGTCACGCGTTGTAAAAACACGAAATCCTAAACACACGTCACGTGTTATGGAAACAGGACACAAGCGCAGATCATATTCCTAGCTCGACACACGTTAGCAGCGTGAGCAGCACCGCGAACATTGATGGAGTGGCGTACACTCGCCGCTTGTGCCAACTTCGTCGCACGCAGGTCGTAACGAGCATACAATGTTGAGTTTCAGAATAACAGGCGAATGCCGTGCCTTCAACGCCACGGCTCCTGTTGTAGCACAAACTGCCACTGTTGCGGCGTAATTGGAGATGATCTGCGTGGTCTGGTATTTCCGTGTTTTTTTTACTGAAGCGCGCGATTTCCATGGATTCATATCTAAGCCAGTTTATTGTTTGGGCTCACGATGTCATTCGCTTGACGTGCCTGCCACCAACTGACAGTCCGTCGGCGTTGAAATGCAAGGCAGGTGCCAGGCCTTATGTCACTCAATCATACGCAGGAACTAAAGCATCAATGTGTTGGACGGACGGTGTGGGCGGAATGCCACTCATCATGAAAGGAGGCAGCTTTAACTCACTTGTTAATGAGCCAATGAACTAGTTCCGAAACGACAAAACACGACGAGGTTGTCAGCCATCCCTGTGGCACATAAGGCCTCACGGCATTTCACCCGACGTCGAGAGCGCCGCTGCTGTTGCGCCAGCTGGCGCGCTGCTGCGCCGCGCGGGCACGCGCCGTGCTCACTGAACTGCTGACGCGGGCACGGTAGCCAGGGAGCCTCATTCAAACATTGCGGCAACTCATCATCGAATGTTGCATGGCATGATAGCCATAAAGCATTTTCTCAGCTGGTTACATCTATCACGGTCGTGATAGGTGTAACCAGCGGAGGTGCCACCAAATTTTGATTGGGGACGAGGGCGTACAACTATTACGACACTTTAATAAAAGGGTTTCGCAAGTGATTATTGCTATGTAAATTTCTCATGTCTTGAGCTGGGTCATCGCAAGACATGGGGCGCGGGAACCGGGATGGGGGCAGGGCTAACACCCACAAGTTTCCGAAAATTCAACATTGGCCCTTTAGGCGTTGACTGGAAAAATAATCCGAATGGGTATCTTCCTTTCGCCTTCCCAACGTGCACGGGCGCCGGTGTGCAGACAGTTTAGAGGAAAATAGACGAGCGGTCTTTTAGAGTCCTAGAAGCATCAAACTAGATCTGTAGCAATGTAATCCCACCGATGTGAGGTAACTTCATTATGGTAAAATCTGGGAAGATGGGCCCCTACGTGAAGATCTGCGTGAAGAATACATTTGTCCTGCAAGAGAGTCGATAGGAAAGGAGGACTGTCCTCCCTATCGAGCGATGAAGAGGCCGCGTTTCCCTTGCCCCAACCCTTCGCCCCCACCCACCCATCCCTCCCCCCCCCCACCCCTTGGTGGCGCCGCCACTGAATGTTATGCATGCAAAGGCAATTTGAAACATTGCCCTAGGCGAGAAACATCCATCCTGCATGCAAGAAGGGCAAGCTGTCGGTTGCCATTTTGGCGATGACTTAGCGCTCACGAGCCCCAAAGTAAGGGCAGGAGTTTCGGTTTGTCCAGGATACGGACCCTATATGTTAAACTCCCCAATGAGATCGGAGTCCTGTGTGCACCTCATTTCAAAGGCGAACTGGATGGTTCGTTAGTATATGCTGTGAATATCTATGCAGGTGTGCGATTCGGGGTCCATGTTCAGGGCTATCACCAGACCGCAACGTTTCACGGTATGCAATACAAATGGTTTCATTTGACTGAATGAGTTCGGTAGAAATCGCAGCTAGTTTAAGGCCACTAAACCACCCAAGGTCACAAGGCAGGATACCGGTGCTAGTTACTACACAAGGTGCAAAAAGAACACTGGTCTGTGGCAGCACGATGCAGTCGGCGGTTTTACCACTGCAACCTTCGCTTCAGTTGTACCGGCTTAAGAGTCATGTTTGAGTGTGCTCACGGATAACATCGTGTGAGCACGCGATGCGTTATCAAGCTCCAGGAGTGCTGCAATACGGCCATGCCGCTGCTCGTCAACGACCGAGCAGGCTGCCTGCTTTGGCTGTTGTCCTCCGGTGGCTCCATCGGGAGCCGTCGTCCATCTGGGGCTCCAATCAACGCCGGCAGCCACGCAACCGCTCCCGTCCCGTCGCGCGGACCCTCCGATCGTCACAACCGCCACTTGTTCGGTCACGTGACTGACCGTGGCCGTCAATGAGCCGTACACAGCCTGCGGGCGCGGCTGGCGGCGTCCCGGCCGGCCGGTCGCGGTCGGACGCCCCCCTCCCGCGGTCCCAGCCCGGCCCGGTGGCACGACTCGTCCCTGGCACCAGCATCACGTTTGCCAGCTCGGCCGCGGCGTCACGCTCTCCCCGGGGCAACCCCCGCCGGCACATGATCAGTCCAACGATTTGTTTGGAGAGAGAGGGGAAGACGGATGTATAGATGTACGTCACGGGCGGCGCGCGGCTGCCCGCCGGCCGGGCGCTGACGCGTGCGGTCGGGCCGCGCGCCATTGCGCCAGCCGGGGCAGCCGCAGGAGGCAGGGGCGGGTCCAGCGGGACTTGTGAGTGGGGTCTCGCGATCGCAGGGATCGGGCGTTTGAGACACGCTCAG